CCCACCCCCCACTTCTCCATCGGTGCCACTTCGCATCAAAGCTGAGAGAGAGAAAAAGGCGTCTCCAGCTCCGCCACCGGTTAAATCCACACACAGACGCCCCCCACTCCACATAGACCCCCATCTGCAGCGAATGACCTCAGCTCAGACTCACGAGGTGTTGTCTGGGTGTTGCTATGGAGGAGAGGAATCGGAATTTGGCAACTCCAGCTGCTGCAGGGGTTTGCTGTGCAGCCGTACTGCGACAGCCCCCAGGTCTCTGTCTGAGTGTTGATGGGGCTCAGCAGCATCATGGCTCAGCAGATAATGTGGCTGAGAGTCCAAACAAATGACTCTACAGGCCTTAGCCTTTCAGATGTCCATGTCACCTGTCATTTTGTTTCACCGCTTCATGTTTTTAACCCCTAAATTTTACACGCTAATGTTTCTTTTTTTCGTTTCAACATCACACAACCAAATCCAAAATCACCTGTCCGGTTACGGACCGTCGCACCAAACAAATCTGATGAAGATTGCTCCAGACAAGTGAAATTTCCCTCCTCTTATATCAGGGCCGTTCAGCTAAATTTCACCACTGGCCACAGTTACTGCAGGCTAACAGATCCAGCAATTAAAGTCATTATGTAAATAAACTAAGTATTACAAAGATCTGTTACCTTTGAAATAGTTTATTTTGCTGGATTTAATCATAAACACAACATACAGGAAACAATACATTCACAAACAACCGATGTGTAACAACCAATGTGCAATATGTACAATATCTATGTGCAGTAACTCCGTCGAATGTGAAAGAGCCGTACATTGATGCCTTCATTTCATTTGTATTTGAACTTTCTTTATTTTTACGATTTTATATTTTTTGCATCTCGATATCGTAAACTTTCTTCAAAATCTTCTCCATACTTTATATTCAAATACCAAAAGGGAACAACTAATTTTGTTGTACTTGTTACAATGACAATAAAGATATTCAGATTAATTCATTATCGATAACTTGCATCCTTAAGGAGTTAACTTAATTTATATCTACTCATATTCATGTAATTAAGCGTTTTAATGATTTGGCCGATTAATCGAAAAAATAATCAACAGATTAATCGATTATTAAAATAATCGTTAGTTGCAGCCCTGGATATATTCTATTCTATAAAAGTAGTGATAATAAATCAACAAAAACAGAAATAACACATTACAACTCCTATTTAACACAAATAATATCTTTACATCTCTGACTTGCCAAATTTTAAACCAATTTTTTTTTCACTTTCATAGTTTTATTTTCAACTGCTTGTAGTTTTAACTGTCTTGAGTGTTCATAGAAATGTCTGATATGTTTACCTAAAAGAACTTAGACTAATTAAAGTAGAAAACCAGGGATTTGGGTTTAAGAGATGAATGAACCAATTGCCGGGCCGAACTTTGGTCACTCGGGCCGCCAGTTGAAAAGCCCTGTCTTATAGTGATGTTTGTTTAAAAAGTGACAGAACTGGAAATATTGTCAAAACACTTCGCATCTTAACACACAGACTCTTCGAGTAACAAAAGAACAGAGCATTGCTAGTGTTATTTTCTAATGGTCCTCGAGTCCTAATCTTTTCTCGATTCAAACAAAAGCCCGGCTTTTAAATAAAAAAATAAAAAAAAACTGATTTACGGCTTTTTAATGCCACTGTGGGATTGCATAGTTTCCACACTGACTGGCTGGGTGGCGGCAGCTCTTTTGTGAGCATGTTCACTCCACGCCCAAAGCTGTGTTGGAGTCACAGGTATGGTAACGGCCGGGTTGGGAACAGGCAGAAAGGCAGAGCAGACTGAGGCGCGTAGCAGAAATCAGGCCTGATGACATACCTGCAGAGACACTGAGATCCCTGACACACTCTTTATACAAGCCGGGACAATAGACCGCCTGTTGAATCACAGCTGAGGTTTGATTCAGCGCTGGTGCTTACCTTTGGAGACTTGTGCTTGTCCCTTCATGCACCTTAGTCATGCTATCACTTTATCGTTTAACTCGGCGGTTCCCAAAGTTGGGGTCAGGACCCACCGTGGGGTCCTGAAACATCAAGGTGCGGTCCTGAAAATATTTTTTGAATTAGTTACACTAAAAAATTAACAACTAACAACATTTGTTTGCCTTTGTTGGCAAAATAGTAAGATTAGCGCACTTAAAATGGACAAAATAGTGTAATAAATAATGTTACCATGCTCTTGTTTATTTGAAATGAAAACAATGTTTATTAACCGACAACAACTGGGGGCGCAGGTGAGTTGGCTCCGTTGGTGGGGGAGGATGCCGGTCAGACCTGGCAGACCCAAAAGTATAGTGATTGTGTGCTGGGAACGTCTGGCAGAGTCTCCCATCAGACGGAGCTTCAACTCACACTTAGAACACGTTCCGGGGGAGGTGGGGGGCATCGAGTCCGAGTGGGCCATGTTCTATACCTCCACTGTCGAGGCGGCTTACCTGAGCTGTGGCCGTAAGGTAGTCGGTGCCCGTCGTGCCGGCAACCCTCGAACCGTGAGGGATTCTGTCAGGCTGAAGAAGGAGTCCTGTCGTGTTTTTTTTGGCCTTTTTTGGTTACAATAATACGTAAATATTTGGTCTAAATCCTAATTTTATGTAATTTTAATCAGGATTTTTGATGTCGTTTGAAAAAAGAAACCTTAAATAGTATTTGAATATTGAGATTTCCTAGCTGGGAAGAAACAAAAGCTTTGATAGTTTACAGTGAAAATCTCAACATTTTAAGGCATTTTTCCTCAAAATCAGGTTTTTGGTTGCCAATTCTCAAAAAAGTGCTTCAAAAAAGCTTTTTAGGATAATATTTGAGACAGTTGATTGAAATGATACATTGGTAACACATTTTTTTGTCACATTTTGACAAAATGTAATTTTTGCAAGCGTTTTAATCAAAACATTATCTGCCTATTTCTCCACATTCAACTTTTAGACTTAATCCTCGTTTCGGTGGGATGGGTCACAAATGGCATTACACGATTAAAACTAAATAATTATTTGTCATTACATTTTGTTATTTTGTTTAATGTTCATTTGGTGTATTTAAGTGATAGTTCAGATCTTTTGTTTTGGTTCTGTGGAAAAAAGCAAACAGAACCTGAACTCTGAAATGAAACACAAAAAATCTTATCCTGAACTGTTTCTAAACAACGCTGTTTGAAAAGATTTACTCAAGTAGTTTTCAAGTTATATTGATTTTGCAGTTCTGAAATGGAGGTAGGCACTCAACATAAATAAAGCACTTTACAGCTCTTTCATGGACGTCACCATCGTTGACCTATTGTCAGTCACTTTTGCTGTTCCAAAACGTAAACAAACAAGCCGTTGTTGGCAGCCATTCACAAATTATTTGTACAAATTTTCAGGTTAAGGACACTTTAGCTGTTGATATGAGAAAAAAATATTGAGCAGATTTTGTATCTTTGTATTTTATTTCTCCAAATTGAGGTTGTTTAAAGATCTATCTACAACAGGTAAGATATTGATCATAACTTTCCGCAGAACCCAATTTTATTAATATTGTAATAAGTTTTATTAATTCCATAAAAACTAAATTAATTCTCTGTACAATAAAAAAGAAAATACAAATAAAATGAAATGAAAACAGCAGAGGGGGGGAAAATCTTATATCTGCTTCTTTTTTCTCAAGTATAAATTCAAATTATAATAATCTTCAGTTAACAAAACAATAAAACAAAAACATCAAATCTTTCTGGAACAACAAATTAAATGGTTACATTTCATATTTTCTAACAATCAAGTCTTTATCCTATTAGACTTGAACTATTTTAAGAACCTCTTTTGTGTCACAGACGCTTAAATCTCAAACTCACTCAGTTCCCGTCATGAACCTTGAATTCTGAATTTTGAAACGATGAGATCTCCTCCTGTCCACCAATACAGGAAGTTTTCTCACGAAATCCCTGCTCTTTATTAGTTTGACATTGTCAGAACAAATAGAAACATTTTGTTGTGGAAACGCTGTCAGCTTGACTCTAAATGACTCTGGTGTGTCAGAGCATCACTTTTAGCAACTGTCACCTCGTCTCTCACCGGACACCAGCCCCTCAGGGCGACTCAACATTTTGCCCCCCACTGGTCCTCTTCAACTCTCTGCTAAATTCAAGAATAGAAAGACAAACTTGTTTTTTTTGTAAGTTTACTGTGATTTCAGTCTGTTTCTAAACTTCTCTCCTCCCTCCTTTGCTGTCACATCAGTTAACTCCATCGATTGATGTCTCGCTGTTCCTCCATCCCCCCTGCCCCGTTACCCAGAAATCTCCTTGTTTGTCGTCCGTTCTCGTCTTCCTCTCGATTCGCTGCATCTCTCAACTAGGCCATCCTCGGCTGTGTGTTACTTGCGTTCTACATGCATGCGTGGCGTGAAGAGTGCGATGTTTTGACACAGAATCACATCAGCGTCCACCCGTCTCACAAGTCCTCTTGGTGAAAATGGTTCTAAGAAAGTTTTATTGACCCACTTTTTTTTTCTGTGCTCTCTCCTTACACAGTGCCAGTACAACCATGTCCATCCGGTCAACAGGGGGCGGGGTCAACGATGTCACCCGCTTCCTGTCAACAGGTGGGGGGTTGGGGTCTCCCACCTCCAACGCCACTCCGTTCTCCGCGGCCAGCCAGGCCGACTGGGCGGCAAAGAGGCTGGTGTGGGTGCCGTCAGAGAAACATGGCTTTGAGGTGAGCTGTCAGAGAGGAGAGGTTTGATTTTTCACGTGAACTTCACCCTGATCCATCAACACCCTCAGGAGTTGTGCACTGTTGCTCTTTGATCCTCTGTCAGGTCTTAAAGGGCCTGTGACATGCTTATCCTTCAAATACAAAAAGTCAAATAAAACATTTATATTTAAGAAAATTAGCATAATACACATGATTTTACCCATTTTGTCTCATAACTAGCATATTTTCTCTTGAATTTGGCTCAGCAAAGTGAAACAGGAAGTGACATCAAAGGGGAACTCTTTAAGAAAAGAAACTCTCTAGTCTTTATCGAAACAATCTTATTTAAACTCTTCTTCGACTACGATAGTGACTCAAAATAATCTAAAGAAACATCAGATTCTTCTCTAATTATTGTAGCATCGCTCTGTTTACATGCAGACATTCCCCTGTGACATCACTTCCTGTTTCTTCACATGCAAATATCTCAACAACTGTTCATCTCAACGGCGTGAAATTCATTTTGCAATATGTTATCCATGTTCTCTTTCCAAAAATGCATTCACATTTATTACAAAAATTTGATGTCCTGGGCACTTTAAGGGGTTAAAATGTGCAGGGTGTTGTGAGGACAAAAAAACAACAACAAAAAAAAAACACTTTTCAGAACTAAAAACCAATTATTTACCACCTTGCCTTAACATTCCTGTTTTTAACTCTGTTAATTGTTTTGTAAATTATTTGCCTTGAGTATGTTCCCTGAGCTCAAGGTGTGTCAGGCAGGTGACGTAACGCAGCATAGGGTGTGTTGGTCTTTGTGTTTTTTTATGTTATGAGTCTTTTATCCCTGTGACAGTAAACATTTTCTCTGTGAGGCCTAGTAGCTACCTTACAGAGCTGTTGATATAGTAATAATTTGCTCAGCTCTGTCTATATAATATATGTTTTTGGTGTAAATAAGTTACATTTGATGTCCTCTCTCTGAGTGTCTAACAGGTTTTATAAAAAGCTCTATAAATAGAACAATACACTCCTTCAGCTTCCGAATGTTAAGGAGGCCATTGCAGCGACACTGACTTCATATTTGCTCTCATGTTCTGAGAGTGAAGAAGCACACACAAACACAAACCCAGACACATATTTAAAAACATGAATCCCAGTGAGACATTGCAAACACTGAGCAGCATGTTCACTTGTCTGTGGCTGATATAATGTACAGACTTGCATGTTGTTGTGTTGTGCATATCAAGCAGCTGAAAGAGCAAAGTGCAGCATGGTCAGAAAGAGTTCTGTACTTCCTGTCTATCAAAAACAAAAAATCACAAAGAGATCCTCTCTTCTCTCCTCTGTCACCATATTGTCTGTTCTCAAATGCAATCAGATAAGAAATCTGAAGCTTATTTAGAAAGTTATTTATTTTACCAAACATTTGTTCATTTGTTTAAAGGGATCCCCGATTAGTTGTAACATTAGACTTTATTTGATAAACATATATTTTAACTGTAAAATAAAGACTGTAAAAATACTGTAGGCAGTTTAGTTTTTTCACTTTTAAACTAAAAGTTTAAAATATATTACATGGATGGAGCCATTTTATTTAAACGCAAAGCATTCTGGGTAAATGATGACGTGGAT